TTGCTACCCCAGCCTTCGATTACCCATCTAGACAGTGACGAGCCTTCGGAAAACACTACATTTTATTTCCGATGGTATGAGATATCGGGTTTAAGTCCGCGACATAAACCCGCCCCTCTGCTCCACATGACCAACGACAAGGTAAACCGCTATCAAATCACACATATCAAGTCCAAGCAGTCAGCCTTCCCCCAATGTCACACAACATAGCTTACCTTACCTACCTTATGCTTAATATCCCCTCTCCCACCCGCACAAGGACCTTGCCACAAAGGCCCGATGACAACACACATATAAGGACCCCCCAAACCGTTACACCAAAACGGTTGTGAGAAACACCCCAGGCAGCGACATAGTTGTAGAGGGCATCAGGGTTACACAGCAGATAAAAGCCCGTATCTTCTACCCACCTTTCCTATAGAATGATGATATCTATGTTGCTGTATAACCACGTGTAAATATCTCGCCAACGACACTGCCCTAGAAATATATGTCCGGACTACAGCTGTTACATCGTCAAGACCCTTGCAGCAAAGCCAAGACCACGACTCTGATAACCCCCAATCTCAACACTCTCACCAGAGCCTCATTCTTGTAACACAAAACAACGACAATGACCACGTACAAGAATCATATCCGCTCAATTCACATCCTGCCTACCCCCGCCCCACCTATCAATTCAATCTCAACGCGCTCAATCATCCTCCTCCTCAACCCTAGTCCTCTTACTCCTCCTATCCCCCTCCTCCTGCTGCAATCCATACCCCCTCTTCCCCGATCTCGCCGCCGCCGCAGCAGCAGCAGTCTCCTGCTGCACCTCCGACAAAAACTTGTCAACATTAAACGGATCACTAGTATCCTTCTCAAACTGCACCGGCCCCTCCCTCGGCTCATTGTCCTCCGTCCCCTTGAACTTTCCCCTCCCCAGCGCCTCCCCAAACCTATTCCCCTTGCTTATCCTGTCCATCGCCCTATCCCCAGCCCCCTCATCATCATCATCCTGATTAACCCTCGGTCTATAAATCGAATTAACCGCATCCTGCGCCGCAAAAAGCGGCTTGTCATACGGGTTATCCTCATTGAACCCACTGCTAAACCCGCTCGATTGGTTGAAAAGCCGCGAGTCGTACATCCCCTCCTTGGACTGCGTCGGCTTGGCCAGACCGAGAGCAATCTTTTCCGAAATGTCGCGGTCCATCTCGCGGGCCATGACCTGAGCCCTCCTCTCGGCACCCATGCGTGACTGCCTGAGCTTCCGCTCTTCCTCCTTGAGCCTCTCCTTCCGAGCCTCCCTCCTCGCACGCTCAGAGCTGTCGCTTTCCGAGCCAGAATAGTCAGAGCCGCTGTAAGACCGGGACCTAGACCGAGACCCAGATTGGGAGCGAGATGACCGTCTCCTGCTGCCACCCCCCGCCCTGTCGGCGCGGGCCTGTTGTGCCAGCTGACGAAGATTCTCCTCCTTTTGCAACCGCTCCTTCTCCGCTAGCCTCTGCTGCATCATGGCGCGCTGCCGTACCTCTTCTCTGGCGTGTCTATCAGCCACGAAGAGGGCTTCGGAAAATTGAGCAAACTTGTCGTTGATCTGAACATCCTGGAGGTTGCGACCATCGGCGGCCAACCTCTTGTCAAGAGGAACAGTGAAACCCTTCGAGTTCTTCCAGAGCGAAACAGGGGGGGGGATACGCCACGCCTCCTGGTCCTCAGCCGTCAGTTTCCTCGGTGGCGAATGCATAACCGGCGGCGGCGGCGTCGGTGGTCCCCTCGGGATCTTCTTGTGCTTGAACTTGGGCGGCTCCATCGGATCCGCCTGCCTCTCCACCACCTTGATGATCCTCTCCTGCTTCTTGGAACTATCCCCCATCTGCGACGACGGCGTGTACTTGACAAACGTCGGGTCCCTCCTCCCATTCACGTTCACATTCTTGGGCTTTTGCGCCGCAACCGCACCGCTGACCAGCTTGGCGAGGGCATTCTTCGTCCTTTCGGCCGTCTCCTGTACCGTCTCCTGGCTAGGTCTCGAGAGGTCCAACTCGCCCGCCTCGGCACGCTGTCGTAGTGGAATCAGGTCCTTGAACGAAGTGTGAATGATGCGGTCTTTGCTGTGCCCTTGGCGCGCGATGGCGGAGTAATCGACCTTGCCCTCGCTGTTGACTTGCACCACGAGCGCATTGGAAGTTGACGCGCCATCGCCTTTGCCCCAGGGGTATTGCGCGACGGGGATTTCAGGAAACGCGCCGCCATCGCCGAAATCCTCGGGCGCGCGAGGACGCCAACCTGCTCGGTTTCCATATGGGGGTGGTCCTGTTCTCTGTGGAGGAGAACAGCTGTTAGTAACCGGAATGGGTACAAAATTCAATGCAATGTCGAGCTGGCTGACCTTTAGGACGAGCTGTGTGCTGTCGATTTCGTTGGCACCGACGATCCGAGGGCCGCGCTGCTGTGCCCGTAACTCTTCATCTTCGCCTGTATATTTTGGTTTTGGAAGGGCCTGAGTGAGGCCAGATGCTATCGAAACCATCGTTGTTTATTTTGGAGTTGTTCGCGGTGACGGGCTGTCGCGATACTGAGGTTTGACGGAGTGGAGATTCTGGTCTTAAATCTTGAAAAGTTCCAGGTGCTGTCGCAGCGAGGACAGAGAGGACGCAGAGCAGGCTGGAGAGGCTTATCGTATTTTTCTTATCGGGTCTTGGCACTAACAGTGGCCCGCGCTTCCAATCCATCCACAGTGTTCAAGATGAACTGCAAGGTCAACCTGACCTCGGTAACAATATCAAGGAAACAAGTTCAAAGGTTGAGTCTTGAAATTACAATCATCACACGTTTCCCGTATTCTACCAGACACTATAACCCAGAAAATGCGATATCACGCCGAAAAGAGACAAACAAGGACCACCAGATATAAATAACCCACCCCTTCACAAGACCCATGAGCCACCCCTATGATACATAATCCTCATAGCAAGACATGCCCAATTCGTCAAGTTATACGCCCGGTCCAGACCAAACACGCTTTTATTTTTGCATTCCAAAAAAAGACAACACCCCTCATACGTAGCCCTTCCGCGCACCCTGGAAGAAGAAGCGGACAATAAACACCTGCAGAGCTCCCATGGCCATGATCATCAGAATCTGGACGATGCTGAAGTTGACGATTCTTTGTTCTGTGCTGCGGACGGTGCTGAAGTTGCGGTTCTCACGGGTGCGGAAGTATTTCTGGTTGCGGGTGATGGTGGACAGCTGGCCCGAGAGCTTGAACAGGGACTCCTCGAGGGCTGATGTTTGTTCCGGTGACGAGCCCTGCTTCGAGGGAATGGTAACGCGCGCTTCGTTCTCGACCTAAAGTGCAAAGAGTAGATGTCAGTATATGCGCTGCGGTTTGCAGGTGAAGGGCCAGGGGTATGGCTTACAGCAATCTCAAAGTCGACAAACTTCTCGGTGTATGTGCTCATCTCGTTATTGAAACAGAACGAGTATTCGCCAACCTCCCTGGCGGTGAAGACAAAGTCTCCCTGCCTCTCCTTCTGGCCATCCATGATGTATTTCCCATTGGGACCCGTCACTTCGTAATCGATATCGAAGGAACCACCGGATTGCACCTATAGAACCGTGTGAGTATCACCGCCAGAGAGTAAGTAGTCCAGAGTCCAACGATAGGTGCGCATACGGCAAAGTAAAAGGCAATCTTCTCGTCCTTGTTCTGTGTTGCTGTGTAGAAGCACGCCCTCTCGTTCGCATGAACCTTGTAGGTCAGGGCTGTGGCGACGACCTGGCTGGCCAGTAGGCCCAAGAGACCGCACGAAAGCAATGGCAGCTGCATGGTGAGCCGGCTGTGTGTTTTCGAGAAGAAGTGTCGTCGAGATGCTGCTGCTGGTATCGCAACGCTTCGGCTCGGCTTCAGGACAAGTCTCAATCGCGCGCGCCGGACCCTGCCACTCAGAGCCAACACCTCAGCCAATTGCCAAAGCGCTGAGCTGGACACTTTTGGCCGGAACAACCAAGTTCCTGGCCCGCTCCCATCCAGGGCGCCAGCTGCGGCAGGGGGCCCATGCACACCTGGCCCAAGCTCTATCCTGGTTCTTGGCCAACCACCGGGGTTTTGTTCCGCCCAGTGACATCAGCGGAATTAGTTGCGTTAAGAGCCTGAAGCTGGTGCACGCGCGGTGAGGCCTGTTTCTTCAGAGCCCGAATTTACACATATTCTTCCTTCTCATATTTACCTAGACCAAGTGACTGTTTGTTGAGTTCTTCTTGCTGGGAAACCGTTTGTTGTGGCCGGCCTTGCAATTTCAATTCCTACCGGCCATATTTGTCGAGACCCGCCATGACCCATCAAATTTCATAGTGACGACACAGACTGAGAAACTCATAGAAAACACAATTACCCAGTCGTTATTTGAGTGAACCTCGCTACAGAGGGCATATCTCAAGATGACGATACCACAAACGAAAGTCGCGACAGCGACATCGGTCGCTATCAGGGCACTCAGTTACTTCTTTTTACGATGGGTAAGTGGGGGCGAAGCACAGCTACGAGGATCAAGACCATTCACTAACTACCTCTGGGATATCTAGGCTCTTGCTCCTGTAAGTAAACGATTATGCATTGCTGATTAGATGGAGCGAGTTTCTGACAGAGGGGTGATAGCCATTTCCCGCCCTTATCTTTGCGTTATTCGCTGTCTACCTGCCATCATTTGTGTCGGGATATCTGCATGAGCCAAAGCAGGAACTAGTTGATCAAGTTGATGTCACAGTAACGGACATTCCAATCGAGGTTGAGGTTCCCGAGAATGGCAGGAGAAACCGCGGGACCGAAAAGCTGGTGGCCGAACAGGTGGCTGTTGAGGAGACCCTCACGATCGAAGACAGACCCCTGAACCCCTTAAAGACACTGCTCTCTGGTGCCCCCAACCCGCGGAGTTTGCTTCTGTCAGCTACCACGCTTCTCATCAACGCTATCTGCGTCGGCATGGTCGCTGACCGTCTGTTCACCGAGCGCTATCACACTGGCGATGACCTCTCTTTTGCCAGACTCGGCTTTGTCTCTGAACATGAGGCCAAGCTTCTCATTAGAGAGCCAGACCAGTCCAAGATGCCCGTCACCGTCGAAGTACACATCAAGGACCCGGTGGCGCCTTTTGACAACCCCCTGTGGCAGAGCGCTGGTGGTATCAAGTTCACCACCAACGAAACCGACTACACCGCCGTTGTTCCCATCCCCCTCCGGAACTCCAAGATGCGCACCTACCAATGGCGCACCTCGAACAACCACACCGGAGAGTTCACCACCCCTCCTCCCGTCGGCCACGCTGAAGAGGCCACCACCGGCCCCTTCACCTTCCTCTCCACCTCCTGCATCGTCTCCCGACTCCCTTACTCGCCGTTTGACCACCCCTTGGCCATCCCAGGCTTCCGCTACCTCGCCAAGGTCCTCCCCACCCTCAACGCGCAATTCATGCTCTTCCTGGGAGATTTCATCTACGCCGACGTGCCCCGCTACTGGGGAAGTTCAAAGTCTGACTACAGGCAAAAATACCGCCAGGTCTACGCCTCGCCCGACTGGCCTTCTGTCGGTCAAAACCTCAGCTGGATTCACACCCTCGACGACCACGAAATCGCCAACGACTGGTCCGCCAACTCGACGGGCGTCTACAAGGCGGCTTTTGACCCCTTTGAGCACTACCAAGCAGCTGCCAACCCTCCCCCGGCACGCAGAGCAGGCGGCATCGCCGCTCGCAAATCGGCGACGTATTACTCCTTCACCCAAGGTCCGGCGAGCTTTTTCCTGCTGGACACGAGGACGTTCCGGTCGGATAATCATCTTCCTGATACAGCCGAGGAACAAAAGACTATGCTTGGCCCTGAGCAGCTGGAGGACTTTTTGGCGTGGCTCAAGAAACCTGAGCCGAAAGGGGTCAAGTGGAAGATTGTGGCCAGCTCGGTGCCGTTTACGAAGAACTGGCCGGTTAACACTCAGGATACGTGGGGTGGGTTTTTGACGGAGAGGAGGAAGGTGCTGGAGGCGATGTGGGATGTTTCGAGGAGGGGGGTGGGGGTTGTGGTGCTTAGTGGGGATAGGCACGAGTTTGCTGCGACCAAGTTCCCGCCGCCGGTTCCCGTGCTGGTGGAGGGAGAGGGAGAGGGGGAAGTCCATGTGGAGGGGAGGGCGTGGCCGGAGGAGGCGACGGTGTGGGAGTTTTCGGCTAGTCCGTTGAGTCAGTTTTATAGTCCGGTTGGGACTTATAGGGAGAGGGATGGGGAGGATGTGATGGTCAAGTGAGTTTTTCCTTTTTCTTTTTTGTTTTTTTGTTGTTTTTTTTTTGTTTTTTTTGTTTTTTTTTGTTTTTTTTTTGTTTTTTTTTGTTTTTTTTTGTTTCTTGATGAGAATGTTGAGTGGCTAATGTGAGGTGGTGAGCAGGTATATTCATAAGGGAAACTCCAAGTTTGGAGCGATCACTATTGAGAATTTGGAGGGCGGTGATCAGAGCAGCTTGAAGTATAGGCTGTTTGTGGACGGGGAGGAGGTGTGGAACACGGTGCTTCTGTCGCCGAAGGGGGACCAGGCTCCGGCGAGGGGGTCGTTTTGGAGTAAGTTGATTGGTGCTTAGGATGGGGGTTGGTGATGATCTTGTGGAGATGAGATTATTTCCATGCGATATGATCGAAACATCTCGAGGAGGAGATCGAGAGGGGAATTTGCGGAGGACGCTATCTGATGATCTTATACACGAGAGAGGGGGTGCGCCAGAAGAGGTTATCTGTTGATGTTATACACAAGGGAGGGAGGCATATGGGACTTTGGAAGGAGAAGGACGTCTGGAGTTTGGTGATTTCTACGGTGGATGAGATATCTAGATCTAGTCAATACCTTGCTTTTCTGCTTGGAACACCGACCGTCGTGAAGCAGGATAAAAGAGGGACCCTTTGTCGCCTCTAGAGCACAGCGAACCCTAACCCGTGATATATACCTCGTTGGTGGAGAACAACGACATGCCCGACATGCCGCTCAGCAACACCACCTAGATATAGGCCCTCCGTTTAACCGACAGAGCAACAGGTTTGAGCAACTTGAATAAACCCTTTGTCTTGATAATATCTCAAGAAACAACTCATCATGGGTTCCTCACTTCGTGTCACCACCCCTACTGCCAGCAACCCTCTCTCTCTCCCATTCCAACTCTCATCTGCCGAGGTTCTACGAAACAGGACAGGAACGAGCGAATGATCCGGTTTTCTTGGCGGAGCCGGCTCCGTCACTTGTAAACCTGCGGTTAAGCTCGGCGCTCTTGTTATAATAAGCAAGCGGACGTGGAAACATCCAAAGTCATATGATGCTTTAAATCTCACTGTAACTGACTAACTGTCGATACGCAAATTTTTAGTTTTTTTGGGGAATTATTTTGTAACACAATTTCTCCAAAAATGAAGTCATTCCTAGCTTTGAGGCCAGTTTTGTTTAAAAGGGAACTGCTGCTTGCTGCTGCAAGGTGAGTGAAACATTGATCGATTTGAGGGAGGGGGTGGAGGGAGCTCATTCGTTAACGACACATGCGCGCAGCAGCCGTGGGAGGTCTTTTGCACTGTACACTGCCGCTGCCACCACCAGTCAGAACAGAGTCAAGCTCAGTGTGAGAGGGTACAGTACGAAGAAGAGTGTGAGTGTTGGGGGTGGTGGGCTCAAGGTGGAGGTTGAGGGGGGGAGGAAGAAGAGGGAGAGTTTGTAAGTCGCGAGGATAATATGATATGGTTGAGATGCTGATGATAGTTCTTGTTCTTGTCTTATTTAGGCCGTACTTTTGGTTGAGGTGAGTATATGCACCTCTTTTCGGCTGAGCGACCTGCAATGCACAGAAGGACGACTGAACGACCTGCAGGGACAACTGCCGGTGCGCGAGCTGCATTAATCAGGATACGAGGCAGAGGAATTTCAATACTTTTGCGGTGAGTCTTCTTGATGGCCTTTTGGGAGGGAGACAAATTTTTGCTGATGAAAATGAATGGTGGGTAGATTCCTGCGGATATCAAACCTGAGAGTGTTAGCTCGACGGCGGAGGGGGTTGCTGTCAAGTGTTTGTGATCTCTTACCCCCTCCTTCTTGAACACGTTTGGCATGCTGATGGGGAGATGTTAGGGTCCGACGGCCATGAGAGCAATTATGACTGGGATTTCATCCAGCACTACGTGAAGGAGGACAAGAGGGACAGAAGCGTCACCCAGGAGTACGTCCTCATCTCAAACCCCAAAAAGATCGAGCTAACACTCCCCAAGCCAGCACTACTGGGGCGCGGAAATAGCCTCCAACCCACCCACCGTCTCCTACAACGAAGTGATGAACTCTGACCAAGGCGTGGCCGACCTCACAGCAAAGATCGTGAGTTCTCCCCTCCCCCCTTCCCTTCCCCCTTCCACACATGATACTTACACTTCCTCCCTCAGCAAAAATACGGCTTCTCCTTCATCTCCTCCACCCCCTCCCACGACCCGGACCCAACCCGCCAGGTCCTCGAGCGCATCGCCTTCATCCGCCTGACCCACTACGGCGGCTTCTACGACTTCATCCCCGACCTCGCCATGGCCGACACGGCCTACACCAACCTCGCCCTCCCCGCCCACACGGACAACACTTACTTCACCGATCCCTCCGGCCTCCAAGCGTTCCACCTCCTCTCTCACACCCCTCCCCCGGGTGTTTCTGCCGAGACCGTCCAGGGCGGTGCTTCCTTGTTGGTGGACGGTTTCAACGCCGCCAAGGTGTTGAAAAAGGAGGACCCAAAGGCGTACGAGATTTTGACTCAAGTCCGACTGCCCTGGCATGCGAGCGGGAACGCGGGGATTACGATCACCCCGGATAGGTTGTATCCCGTGTTGGAGGTGGTGGATGGGGAGCTGGGGAGGGTGAGGTGGAATAATGATGATAGGGGGGTTGTGCCGTTTGGGGAGGGGTATACTCCCGAGGAGTGGTATGGGGCGGCGAGGAAGTGGGATGAGATGCTGAGGAGGAGGGAGAGTGAGTATTGGGTGCAGTTGACGCCGGGGAGGGTGCTTGGTGAGGTCTTTGATGCTCTTAACTAGGGGGGGGGAAGAGATATGCTAACGATGCTGGGGTAGTGTTTGACAACTGGAGGGTTATGCATGGGAGGAGTGCGTTTGAGGGGATTAGGAGGATTTGTGGGGCTTATAGTAAGTTCTCTTTGGTTGTCTTGTTTCTATTGTTTGGTTTATGGTATGCTGATGGGTTGGAAATAGTCAACAGAGACGATTGGATCTCGAGATGGAGAAACACCAACTTTGACAGGAAGAAGGTGTTGGACAGTGTAATCGGGTAGAGTGGTGCCGAGGGGGTTAGGTATCAATTTCTTAGGGCCAGCCCGAACCAGATACAAATCCCAGGGTCTGGTATGCATGCGCTGTAACGTTTGACTACATTTGATTGCTTGACAGGATTGACAAGTCAGTTCGATGTGAGCTTGCATTTACCCCACCTCCGCATCGACTGACAGCTACCTATTTACCCGGCTGTTGTGTGTTTTCTTAATGCCATCTGGCAGACGTTTGAAGCTCTCGACTTGAGTTTCCCCGGGAACTTTTGGAGACACTTTCCATGTACTTAGTTTAAAGGCTAAAGTTATAAAATCGATAATTCCATAGATATCGGCCCTTCCCGCTCAACTCCAGTCCCCGGATTTACCCCTCGATCCCCACGCTCCACACCCATGGAGCCAGAAACAAAGACAACCCAAGGCCACGAATGGCATCATTGTGCATATGGGTATTGCCCACGAATCTTTGGGCACCATCCGCGGTATTCACGTAACCAAGCTCCACAAGACTTCGGAATCTGGCAAGGGGATCCGTCTTCCCCTCCACTTCTTGATCGAGTTTCCGCGCTGGACAGCTGGCAGCAGGGCAGCTGGACAAGCAGTAACAGACAAGATAGGTACAACGTAGCCGGGTAAGGGTATGTAGGTATCCATCCGTTTCGAGGGACCATAGGAGCCGACATGGTCTCCGAAGGTAATCTGCGGGGTTGGCTGTGTGTGTGTGTGTGTGTGTGTGTGTGTCCCTGGCCGAGATAGGTAGCTCCGCCTCGATCTTTGTAGATCTGCCTCGTCCCCCCTTTTCTTTTTTTCTTTTTTTTTCTTTTTTTCTTTTTTTCTCCGTTTCCTGCTTCTAGTTACTCAGTTCGAGATCAACAAACTCACCAAACTTCAAAATGTCCCACGTTTCCCCAGCTGGGCTCTTCGCCCACGACTCTACCGCTCCTCCTGCCAGCAACAGAGTTCTGCCTCTGTTTTCCCTCGCTGGAAAGACCGCCATCGTCTCGGGCGCCACAGCTGGTATCGGTTACGCTGTTGCTCAGGGGTTCGCCGAAGCGGGCGCCAACGTGGCGATATGGTACAACTCCAAGAAGGAGCAGGCTGAGGCTGCCGCAGCCGAGATCGAGAAGGACTTTGGCGTCAAGTGTAAGCCCCTTTCTCAGTCACCTACCTTCACCACCATGGAAACCTAACACACAACCCTCCCAAACAGGCAAAGCCTACCAAGTAAACGTCGCCTCCTTCCCCGCCGTCTCCTCGGCCATCAACGACCACATCCTCCCCGAGTTCAACTCCCGCCTCGACATCTTCGTCGCCAACTCGGGCATCGCCTGGGAGGACGGCCCCATGCTCGACGGCGTGGCCGAGGACCGCATCAAGCGCTACAAGGAAATCATCGACACCAACCTCGACGGCACCTTCTACTGCGCCAGAGTGGCCGGGGAGATCTTCCGCCGGCAGAAGCAAGAGGGGCTCGAGGGGTTCACCTACGGCAGCTTCATTGCTACGGCGAGCATGAGCGGGAGCATTGTGAACATCCCCCAGCTGCAGACGGCGTATAATGCGAGCAAGGCGGGCGTGATTCACTTGGTCAAGAGTCTGGCGGTGGAGTGGGTTGGTTTCGCGAGGGCGAACACGGTGAGCCCGGGGTACATTGTTACGGAGATTAGCAAGTTTTGCGATGAGGGGACGAAGAGGGCTTGGAGGGATAAGATTCCGATGGGGAGGGAGGGGATGCCGAATGAGTTGAAGGGGGCGTATTTGTATCTGGCGAGCGATGCGGCTTCGTATACTACGGGGATTGATTTGGTGGTGGATGGTGGGTATTGCGCTCCTTGAGGGGCTTCATAGAGAAACAGAGTTCGGTTTCTGATGTTCAATGCTCGGACTTGATCTGGTGTAAGTCAATGGACTGGTGCCAACTGGCAGTCAGCTGCTGCCGGTGAACCCCTAATATATGCCTTGGCAAGCCAGATACCAGACCGACCCAACCTCACCGCTGAGGCTCCAAAAGTTTGGAGCCTTGTGCTACCTGCCGATAACGTTCTCTCAATTCGGGCACGCGATAGCATTTACATCAAGTTGCCTGTGCCCCGTGTCTACCTCCAGTGTTCCAGACGTATTTACTTGACAAAAGACTCTCTGTTTGGGCCTTCTGAATGGGCCAGACCCGAGCCCATTTTTAGCAGAAGCGGGCCTCTCTTATTCTCCCCCCCACTGTAAAGCCAGGGGACCGTGATAGTGTTAAAAGTTGGGTGGATTACACCTTTGAATAACTGTATCGTTGGTGATTTGCTTTGAAAGCAACAAACGCCAGAGGGAGGCAAAAAAACCACGAGACCCGATTCCGCCTTTCTCAGCTTTCTGGAAAAGCCAGTCTCGTCCCAACCACAGCTCACCTCTCGCCAATTCGGTGAAACAACCAAGGTACCCCTCCCCTCCTCCCGCCGCCCCAGCAGCTTTCTGGAGCTCGCCCACACCCACTCTCCTTGCTCCTTCGCAAGAGGACCAACTGGGAAAGTCGCCTCTCTCTCTGTCCGACCGCCGACCGCCCAACTGCTGCTTGCCTTCAGCCTTACCCATCTGACAATCCCAAAATCCGCTTTCAAACTTCAATCAAACGGCGGCTTTGGCGACTTGCACACACACCCCGCACCCTGCAACATTTTAAGGGGAGCCCGACCGACTGTCCAACCGGCGACCCCCTTTACAGCCTTACTCCCCGTAATCCTCCCTCTTTGCCGCCGATAGTAAGAGTATCGATAGTCGATAGTATCTTTTCCTCCTCCCACTCCCCCAGCCTATTCAGTTCTCAACGACGTCGATCAACATGGACACCGAGGACGCCGGCGCCCAGGGCTTCGACCCCCGCACCCAGCAGGTCGACAACGCCATCCGCGCCATACAGCAGAAGAAGCCGCTCCCTGAGATTGACTTTACCATTCATGTGATGGAGGATGGCACTCAGGTCAGCACCCAGGAGAGAGTCTGCAAAGGTAGAGAACAACTCTCTCGACCCATTCAAGTACTGGTACTGACATTGTTACCCCCCCCCCCCCTCCCATCCAGATGTGCAAGCTCCCGCCATGTACAAGCCCACCGACGACCAATTCTTCGAGGACGAGTCGCAACAAAAGCCCAACATTCAGTTCCTAAAGCAGCACTTCTACCGCGAGGGCCGCTTGACTGAGGAGCAGGCGCTATGGATCCTCAAGAAGGGCACCGAGATCCTCCGCGCCGAGCCCAACCTACTCGAGATGGACGCGCCCATCACCGTCTGCGGTGACGTCCACGGCCAGTACTACGACTTGATGAAGCTGTTTGAGGTCGGCGGCGACCCGGCGGAGACGAGGTATCTGTTCTTGGGCGACTATGTCGACCGTGGCTACTTCAGTATCGAGTGCGTGTTGTACCTGTGGGCGCTCAAGATTCACTACCCCAAGTCTCTGTGGCTGCTGCGTGGCAACCACGAGTGTCGCCACCTGACGGATTACTTCACCTTCAAGCTCGAGTGCAAGCACAAGTACTCCGAGGCCATCTACGAGGCATGCATGGAGTCGTTCTGTTCGTTGCCGCTGGCGGCTGTCATGAACAAGCAGTTTTTGTGCATCCACGGCGGTCTCAGCCCGGAGCTGCACACGCTGGATGACATTAGAAATATCGACCGCTTCCGCGAACCCCCCACCCAAGGCCTAATGTGCGACATCCTCTGGGCCGACCCCCTCGAGGACTTTGGCCAAGAAAAAACCACCGACTACTTCCACCACAACCACGTCCGCGGCTGCTCCTACTTCTTCTCCTACCCGGCCGCCTGCCACTTCCTCGAGAAGAACAATCTGCTCTCTGTCATCCGCGCCCACGAGGCCCAGGACGCGGGGTACCGAATGTACCGTAAGACCCGCACAACGGGCTTCCCCTCGGTCATGACCATCTTTTCCGCCCCCAACTATCTGGACGTGTACAACAACAAGGCGGCGGTTCTAAAGTACGAGAATAACGTCATGAACATTAGACAGTTCAACTGCACCCCCCACCCGTACTGGCTCCCCAACTTCATGGACGTCTTCACCTGGTCGCTGCCCTTTGTGGGAGAAAAGATCACGGACATGTTGATTGCCATCCTGTCAACCTGCTCCGAGGAGGAACTCCGCGAGGAATCATCCGCCTCCTCGCCCGGTCCAGTATCCCCCCCCTTGCCCTCGGCCTCGAGCGTCGGGAGCCAAGATCCGGAATCGATCGAATTCAAGAGACGTGCGATCAAGAACAAGATTTTGGCCATCGGACGACTGTCGAGGGTCTTCCAGGTTTTGAGAGAGGAATCCGAGAAGGTGTCGGAGCTCAAGACGGTCAGCGGCGGGAGATTGCCCGCCGGCACGCTGATGCTCGGCGCCGAGGGGATCAAGAATGCGATTTCGAGCTTTGAGGACGCCAGGAAGGTGGACATTCAGAACGAGAGGCTGCCGCCTAGCCATGACGAGGTGCAGAAGCAGAAGGACGAGGAGCACGCCCAGGCGCTGGAGCGGGCGACGAGGGAGGCGGAGCAGGATAAGAAGTTGCAGACGCTGAGTAGGAGGTTGAGCACGTGAGTTTTTTCTCTTCTTTTTTCCCTTTCCCTCCAAGTCATGAGTTATTTTTTTTTTGGCTTGGTTGATTTTGTTTTTGCGAGAAACTAATACGGGGTATCTTGGTACTAATACAGGGGTGAATAAAATAGGGATCGCAAGCGGTAGTCGATTCCAAGCTTTTGCTCTTGTGTTTTTGGCTTTTGGAAGAAGAATGGAGGTGGTGATCAGGAAACGGGGAAAGAGTTGGCTGTGTTGGTTGGTTAAGTGGATGAATGATGGGCTGGATCCGTGTACTGTCCAAGTCAGTGTGTGTGTGTGTGGGTTGTGTGAGTGTGTGTGGGTGTGTGTTCAATAAAGGGTCGCGGCGAGAAAGATACTACCTACATATTTTTCCTCTCTCAACTTCTCACACCTAAATCACACACAGTATCCGTATGAAAGTAATGTCAGATATATCGGGTATTTGTTGCAAACCTCTCTTTCACTGCGGTCACATGCAAAACAAACGAGGTTAAAAATAACAATCCATACAAGTTCCTATCGATCATGCCCCTCCCTATGAACCAAGTCCCATCCATCCATCGTCCGTCCATCTTTGCTTGCTCTCTCTCTCTCACAAATGTTCGCCATCAGGTCGTCCCACACTGCACAACCAAAACCTCCTTAGTCAAGGAGGCGAGGGCGTATCCTTCACGCTCCTCCACTCTTCTCGACTTCACAAATATAACAAAATGAAAAACCACCCCCAACCACACACACCATCCATCATCCCAGAAAAAAATTGAATGCCCCATTTTTCTTTCCATCAATAGGCCTGAGAAACCAAAAAAAAAAAAAAAAAAAAAAAAAAAAAAGAACAAAAAACCCAAGCTAACAAAACGAGCGCCCCGATAAAACACTGACAGGGATGTACATATACAACGCGCTGCCGCTGTGTCTCTAACAACATCGAGCAGCAACAACGATCATCATCTACATAAAACAATAACCGCACCTTGTCTACTACTTCCAAAGTTTCAAAACTCAGCCCTTGAGGAACAAGTCTCCAGCGCCGTTCCGTGTTGTTCGTGCCCGATCGGGGTGGTCTAATCCCAACAGATCATCCGTGTTCGTTGCAATGTCCCACAGAATATCGTCTACATCAACGACATGTTAGCCGCCATAAACAAAGACAGAAAGAGAGAGGTCCAAAATAAAACTTACCATCTTCCAAATATTGAGGTCGTGAGAATGATGATCTCCGGATCACAGCAAATTTGATCTTCTCAAAACTCTTGCCCTTGATACCAGTGCGCTGTTCCAGCCGCTTCTTGGTGTCGGCAAACTTCTCTCCTTCCTTGACCAAGAATCGGAACGGGATTCCATGCGCTCTGCTGGGCTCGCCGTGGAAGTGGAAGCAGGAAATGAAGTTTGCTTGGTCCGAAACCGCAGCATCCTCAGCGGGCATCCGCTCAGCTATCACCGACGTGTAATCGTTAATGCTGAGCACCGAATAGTCTCTGGCCAGATCTCTGAACCACTTGTGATGACTGCTAGTTTCATAGACGCGGATCTTGCCCGCCTCTTCCTCGCTGGGAATTTTGGCCTTCTTGACCAGAGCCTCGATAAGGTCTTCCACCTGGCCGCTCTTGGGCACCAACACATCGAACTGCTCCTCCTTGGTGATGCCCTCACTCAGCCACGTGATTTTGATGCTCTTCTTGGTATCCAACTCGGCCAAGCTCATGTCGAGCACCTCAAAATACAGAGCATCGTTACGCTGATTCATGTTAAGTTGTCCGTAACCGGCCGGGATGAGGATGTTGGCCAACGACTGATGCCCACGCTTCACCGCCGTCCGGGGGTTGTTAGAGCTAGCATTAACCGTGTAAAACCGCAGGTGCGTTGGCTCAACGTTGAGCTTCTCACCAACCTTCTCACACAGCTTGTCGTAGTTCATTTTCGTGTTGAGAACCAGACTGAACTCCGGGTACTGCTTGGGATCGCACTTCTGGGGGTGAGCGTGGAAATCCACATTCTTCTTGTTGTTGAGAAAGTCGTAGTAATCCCGAACATCCTCGTAGCGATCGACCGCCCTGATCCTGACAAAGTAAGCCACTGTGTTCGAAAAGAAGATCAGGATAACAACTTACGTTTCTTCAGAGCCCTGCCTTTCGGCGCCGAGCCCCAATTTGTACTTCTTCTCGTCACGGGTTCGCTGGAAGCAAATAATGTCTCCATCTTGAAGCTCGGCAGCTTTCAGCGTCAGCTTGACCTTGAGACCCTCGATCATGCTAGGCTTGATTTCCTCCCACAACATGATCTTTTCGTCACTGGGCAGCTTCTCGCCCCAGTTCATCTTTTTCAAAATGACCGGAATGAGATCCTCAACCTTCTTTTCCTTGCTGAAATAAATGTGGCCAACACCCCGCAAGCACTGCGACTCGACGTCGAACCATTTCAGGAAGAGTAGGATCAAGTCATTTTTGACAACCACACCATTCGGGAGCCCGGGATAGGTCGGCCAGACGGCAGCCCCATCAGCGTCGACTTCGTCAGCAATTTCAACCCACACACGGAGCGCTTGATCCCGGTGTGCCGTGGCTCTGCTGTACGTCTCTTCGACTGTCGGGCGAAGATCCATCACTGGCTGGTCTGGTCTGACTGTCTTGTTTTGCCGGTTCACCATGATCCATAATCGCACGCGTCTTGGATCCTCTCCAATGTCGGCGGCTATCTCGTTGGCCAAGTCTGCCATTGACGCCGTGCGAAGGAGCTTGTACTGCTTGTAGGAGCCCGGCTCCGAACCCACGGCGGCATCAAATGCCGTCAGGTCAACTCCGCCATGAGCCTTGAACGTCTCATCTGTGACGGCTTTGACCCCGAGGTAAAGGTGTTGTTCTTCTCTCTCCTTGCGCTTAGCTTCACGGGCAGCATGTTCTTGCTCGAACTTTTTCTGGAGGTGTTCCGGAGCATCGGCTGGCGTGACAGGGCAGAGAATCTTGTCCAATCTCGACTTCCGGATGTAAACCAGCATGTAGGCGCTGTTTGGCCGCATGATGGGTTGTTTCTTGGCGTTGAGTTGGGGACGGCCACCAGTTGTCTTGTAGAAGCCGCCAAAGTTCTCCTCCAGGACCTCGCGTTTCGTGGCCTTGGTGACCTTATCATCGTCATATTTGTACCACCAGCCATCCTTTTCTGGTTTCAGGAACGCATAGTAGTGACCCGCATTGAGATCACCGCTGTGTACCAGAACACCGTGAAGCTCGTATTCCCATGGCTCGGACCTATCAGCCTCCTTTGACAGATAGGCCGAGGCATCAAACTCCTCGGGAAACTCGTAGCGATCATTGATCTTCATCATAGTGTCGAGGTTGATGTCGTACTCGAACCGCTTCAGCTGCAAATGGAGGACGTCCGGGAAGCTGTTGAAGATGACTCCCTTGTCGGCGTCCTGCAACTTGTACGTGTCTCCGGCAAAGTACTGGTTTTCTCCGTCGAGCTTCTCCACCTGGATGTAGTCTTGAAAACTATCCAGCAGATTCGCGTTCCCGCTGACATTAAGCTGAACGTCCCAAAAGTCCTCGACGCGACTTGATTCGTAGGGGACGTTGATGCAGGAGATGTAGGTTTTGATCTTGCCGCTGAACATCATGGGAAGCGCCTTTTCCAGGTCGGTGCCCTTCATCTTGTCCTCCATACGCTCCATGAGCTTCCTAGAAAGCTCTTGCACATCTTGCTGCTCAAAAATGTGCCGCGTTTCCCAGCCAAAAGACTTGGTGAGCTCGTTGGTGCTAACAGCGACGTTCGAAGTCTGAAGTTGGTAGAAGAGTCTCTGCAGTGTATAAGCGCTGTTTTTCATATCCTCTTCGTGCTCTGTGGGGATGCTGTAAATGGCCTTGCGGAACGCATTGGTAAAGTATAATGACTGGAGGAGTGAGTTGAGGTAACAGGTAGCGCCTTGGTTCTTAAGACCAACGTAGCCAGTCTCCTTCTTGGAATCGTAGTTGTTGAAGTTGTGCCATAAAACGCCCGTTTCGTCCTCGACAACTCTGACGAAAGCGGTGATGTTGGCAGCATCGTTTTCCACCAGAGGCCTGTCTGCAGTCTCCCAGACAACATTGAACATCTTCCGGCACTCCAGAAACCTAGTGAAGCCCCAGTCGCTCTCCTCCTTGGTGAATCGATGATGCGCCGAGTGATGAAACATTAAGGATGGGTCTTTGGGATTCCACAGGACGAGGGCAAACTGCACACAGCAGCTCCAGTTGTCGGGAACACTGTTGGTGTCGAAACCATGCTCCAGGTAAATGGAGCACTGGTCCAAGACATTATTGCCGTGTGGAAAGAGTAGGATCCGCCTGTCGAGTGTCAGAAAAAAAACCAAAACCAATCAGATAGCCATTGCTCACCATGGGTAACCTCCAGCCTGGAATATGGGCCCTCGCTCCTTCTTATTCATCGTGCGCCATCCTTGCACTTCCCAGGTGTGGACGACATCTTCGAGAATCCGGGGCTCTTCGGCGAGCGGAGGAAGCACTATTTCCTTCATGGCATCACCTATCACGGGGTCAGCACTGCCGGGCGTGGGACAACAAGTGGCAGGTCGGGTGTGTTCAAACATACTATCTGTGGCGAGTACAACATCCGTCTCCATGCTGTCGGGATTGATGATGGCGACATCTTCGGACTCGGTGCCGTTTGGCTCGACGATATGTTCTTCGGGTTGGTCTAGCAGCATGGCATTCGGCGACACAGCGTCGCCATTGTGCTGGTTGTCGGCCTGAAGAGTCAGGTTAGCAAAGCCGGGGATTGGTGAGGCCGAGAGGAGGGGATCGGGCCCAGTCATGACGGCAATCTTGGGGAATAGTTGCAAAATGATTTGGTGGGAAATGTGTCGCAGAGAGTATTGTGTAGAACTGCTCAAGGGCTGTTGGTGGAGGGGGAGGAGTGGTTGTCGAGAAAGCAGAAGCGGAGAGTGCGAGAGTGAGAGGGAAAGTCAAAAAACAAGCAACGAGCGCCTGCTTGTACCTGCAGAATCTTCTTTTCAGACAAGGAAAAGGCTTACCATATCCTACGACCAAAAGCTACTCTGGCAGTCACTGAGGAGCAACGTTGATTTCTTTGGGAAGGGGCGACGTCGTGAGCAGGTGACGGAGGTTGCTGGCGACTGTCTAGCTTCCTTGTGAGCCAGTGGGGAGAGAGGGGTCCACGGATTGGGTGGTTGACGGCTGTCGGGCGATCCGGCACAGCAACTGCAAGCAGCTGTTACGGGGCCAAATTCACCAAGATTCTGGGGGGGCCGGAACACGTCTCTTTCAGGAATCGCGACTTTGCTTCAGGTGGGCGGGATCAAGGGTTGGATGCCCGGCACTCGTGGTGGACTGGGGAAATATGTCCAGGTGGAATGGGATCTGGGGAAGGCAAAAAGAAACCCACCTGAACCTCTCTGCTGCCAAATGGCCAAGCGGGCGCAGCATCTGGGCTTGGCCTGACTGTTAAGTCACAACCGGTGCATGTGGCGTTCACCACGCTCGCCACTATTGTACAGAGAGCCAGTTCATGTAGCTCCTTAACATGCACAGTTTGAGCCCCGCCATGACGTGGGGACAACGAACTAGAAGATAATATCCACAACAGCTTACAAAACGCTGTCAATGTCGCTGTCAATCCTTCTCCAATAATATGGGTGCAAAGTTAACATTTTGATTCTTCTTTTTATTCTATAGCCACAAGACATGCTTGCCAAAGACTACAGGTATGAGGTATGTTGTGTCCGTGCTCTTTCAAAAGACAGCTAAGTGGGGAGCACCGTGTGAATGTACCTACTTGCACACACCTGTGCTTTCAAGGCTCTATGACACTCAGCTTTACAAGCAGTGAAATGAGCTTAGATTCTCTATGGTAGGTTCTAAATGTCTTTTTCTAAAGATGAAAGCTATGAGAGACTGATCTCTGAGCTAGGAATGAGGCGATATTCAAGCCTGAGGCTGGGCCAACGGCAATAGTTTTCAGCCACACAAGACACATCTCTCGCAGAGCACAGGCTGAGATCTTGCACAACTCGAGTGGCAATACGTAGGACAAGTACCTGAAAGCCATCCTCAGCCGAAGTCGAACAACAGCATGTTCAACCGCCTTCTTGTCAGAGCAACGGCAACAGATGAAAGCACATGTCCAAAAGACTTACAAGGCCAGGCGCACGGATCATAAGTAACATGTGGGGTAATTAGGTAGATGCCGGTTCCCGTCAGGAAGGAACTACCTCGGGGGAGAGGGCCTGATCTGACTCCCATGCCGCATTGCAACCTACTGTGGGCAGACATCATTGTCTTTGAAAGAGAGCTCATGCAACTGCACCATGGCCGCCGGAGCAACGTGTGCGTGTGCTTTTAGAAATAACACCTTCTCTCCTTGAAACCTGCTCCATGTTGTAGCACCTCCTCCTCTCCACTTTCGCGCCCAATGTAAGACATCTTCATACTGAACGGCTTTGTGAACCAATTCCGATCTCGGCCGCCACCTTTTCCTTCACATCGCATGGCACCGACGGTATGCGGCGCCTTCAACATGTCACGGCCGCCGTCCGGTTGAGTAGTAGAGCGGGGGAGCTGAGAACCTTGGGCGCGGCGGCGGCGGCGGCACTCATTCAGCTGCCAAATCGGCGACACAGTCATAGCAGCAGCCAAAGTCATGCCCATAGTCCAAAGTGGCGTCCGGTGTCAGTGTTGGATGAGTATGTTGCGCAACCTCAGAGATCCATGTTTCCAAACCTCCAGCCAGTGATCAGTTTCTAACCTTCTTCCTTGCAGATGGGTTGCAAAAGAGGCCAGGCCCATCAGCCTGCGCCAGCTCATGGTGTTTGGCCGGTCGTTGACAGAATCAAGACTCATCAGCTCAGCCAACTATGTTCGGACCGAGCTACCAACACGAATCGCCCACCGTATCCGGGACATGCAGAAGCTCCCCTACGTTGTAGTCACCAACAAGCACTTCAACGAAGTATACGACCTATACTACACTGCCTTTGACACCTTCCGCAAAGTCCGCGAGGTCAAAAACTTGGACGACAATGACCGTCTCTGTGCCACCATCCGAACCATGCTCAACGCCCACCTAACCGTCATCCCCAAACTCGCCATGGGTATCCTCGAGTGCAACGGCCTCAAAGACGCGGCCGAGCTCGACAAGTTCATGAACACCATCCTCCGCTCCCGCATCTCCCGAAGAGTAATAGCAGAACAACACCTAGCCCTAACCGAAACCTTTCACGCCCCTTGGTTCTCCCCGGGGGCAAAACTCTCCGAATCCGACTTCATAGGCGAGGTCTTTTTGAGATGCGTAGCCAAAGACGTCGTCTCCCGCTGCGGCGACGCCGTCACCTCCATCGCCCGCCGCGCCTACGGCCCTGACATCGCCCTCCCCGAAATCAAAATCGTCGGCCATCTCGAGGCGAACTTTCCGTACATCCTCTCCCACCTCGAGTACATCATCGGGGAGCTCCTCCGGAATTCTGTCCAGGCCGTGGTGGAAAAACATCAGAAATCAAAGAACAAATCGGCACAGCCTCCCCCGATAGAGGTCACAATCTGCGAATCAAACCAACACGTCATCATCCGGATTTCTGACCAAGGAGGGGGGATACCAAGGGAGAGCATGCCCTACCTCTGGTCCTTCTCCAAGGGTCCGGCATCAAAAGAAATCCTTGCCAACCTGGGGCAAGTCCCCAAGATGGCGGCCACGATGCAGGAGCTCCAGATTGACGACATTAACCCGGAAAGCAACAAGAAAATTGAGACTTTGCATCAGAAGTACGGGCATCAGAGTGTGCAGTCTTTATCAGCGGAGGAGAAGGAAAGGGAGGACAGGGCCAAGTATAGTTCCTTGGCCAGTCTGTCGTCGAGGCCCCCGAATTTGAGGTTGGGGATGGGCTTACCGCTGAGCAGGGTGTATGCAGAGTATTGGGCCGGCTCGCTGGCGCTGCACAGCCTGGAGGGGTATGGGGTGGATGCGTTTTTGCAGATTAGCAAGCTGGGGAACAAGAATGAGCAGCTGACTACGAGGGCGACGATGGATGCTGTTTAGTGGGTATCAGTCGGTCTTCCCTGTCTCGAGCAATATAAAGCGTTTTTGAACACCACCAACAACAAAAAAAGCTGGGGCCGGTAATGAAGAAAGGGTTGTTGAGGCCTCTTGTTTACCGGGTATTTTGGTTGGGGAATTATGTATACACAAGACACCAAGTTGCTAATGAAATCAATAAAGGTTGGAAATCATCCTGGGCTTTTTATTAACCAAGAATCAGGTTGGATTGATATGCTGAAATACTTTTCAACCGACAGAGCTTGTCTACTCACACTTTGTCGCCAGCAATGCAATTACAAGTGCCGCCGCATCTTCAAACAAAAACTCCCACGCAATGTGTAACAGCCTTTCTCATTATTTGGTATCATGAAAGGGGGAGGGGGAAGGGGTGACTAGACAGACGACTAAAAGACGACTAAATTACATCGTGACTAAGTCTCAAAAAAAAAGTTGTAAAAAAGGAGATAAAAAAAGGGGGAGTTGCTTTCTTTCGCGAGAGAAACAAAAAAAAAAGCTCGATAAAAAAAGAGAAGAAGGCAGGACGACAAAAAAGAGATATCAAGTATATCTTTTTCCCTCCCCTTTCCCCCCAATGTGTGTAGTCTTTCTTTCTCCGAACACCTTGCGCATCCTTTTCGAATAAATTTGGCGGAGCAAAAAAAGAAACAACAGCAACGATAGAAAAGTGAAACCCCCGGAGATTATAGGCAACCCAACCAAATCCGCTTAATCACCGCCGCATCACCCCATAGCAAATTCGTGAGCATATCCATGAAGGCCGAAAGTCGTCACTGTTTGGACAAACAAACGGGCCAAAATGTGTGTGGTGTCCGGAGGCAGTGGTTTGAAGCAAGGTTGCCCCTGAGAGTCGCCACAAGCTCATCCCAAAGCTCCGGTGGAGACTGCCGTTTAGCGGCGCCCGTGGCTGCGGACAGCGCTGCCTTGCAGCTGCTCCAGATCGCCCTCCAACTGTTTGATCTGGGCATGAGTCTGCTCGAGGTCCTTGTTGAGGCGGTCGCGCTCGGCAATGAGTTTCTGCTCCCATTGCCTGAAGCGCTGCTCCTCGATCTTGACCTGCTCGGTGAAGCGCTTGCGGAGCGCCTCCTCCTCCTCCTTGAACTTGGGGTTGTCCAACTTCCGGGGGCGGGCCTCGCCAAACTTGCGCGTCTCCATCTGCTGGGCGCGGTACGCCTCGTAGTGCAACTCCTCGGTCGTGTGGATGAGGTCCAACATGTGGGTGCGGATCAGGATCGACCGAAGCTTCTTGAAGTCGCAGTGGTCCTCATTCTCAACCTCGGCAACGCCCCACGAATATTGCCGGCCCTTGACAATACGCCCGTCATTAGTCTTGACGTCCTTCTCAGAGCCGATAACAGCGAAAGGCATAGCCGCCATAAGAGTGCGGGCGTGCTGGGCAGCTGGTTCGTCGTCCTCCTCAATAGGGGGCTGGTAGATCTTGATGTTTTGGGCCTCGATGACAGCGCGGATCTGAAAGCGGTTGAGTCAGCATGGAGCTCCGCCAAACACGGGCAAATTAGGTGTCTCACTCTTGACTTGAACTTGGCCAAGTCGGCCGGACTGAGGGTGTCAGCCTTGGCAATAACTGGGATAAGGTTGACGCGGGAGCACAGGCGCTTCATGACCTCGATATCGAGAGGCTTAAGAGTGTGGCCGGTGGGGCGGATGAAATACAAGCAGGCGTGTACACGGAGATCGATCTTGTCCTGACGACGGGGTTGCTGCTCCTGAAGCATGTAGGACTCGTGCTGGTCGTCGAGGAACTCGATAATGGGCATCCACGAGTCTCTGTTGTTGACATAGTCGCCGAAGCCAGGGGTGTCAATAACGGTGAGGCGGACTGGAACCTAGGTCAGCCATGATCCCGACATCGTTGACTTTGTTTGCCATTATACCCTTGAAGAACTTCTCCTCCAACTCGGCCTTGGTGATCTCAATCTCGACGGTCTTGTCCACTTGCTTCTGGTGGCGGCGCTTGTGGTCGGCATAGTTCTTGATGGTGGTGGAGAAGAGCGTGTTAATGAATGTTGTCTTTCCCAACCCGGACTCGCCAGCAACCTAGATTTTGAAATGACAATAGTAAGCAAACGTCCTCCCCTAACTCTGTATAACAGTTATGCTCACCATGATGGTGAAAGCGGCGCCCCTCTTCGCAACGATCTTGTGGCGCTGGTTGGGCAGGTTGGCAATGCCAATTGGCGAGGCGCTCTCCGCGTTAGAAGGGGCCATCTTGTCGACGCGACAGGTTGATGGGGATGTAGCGTGTGTTTGTGAGGATTGGGGTGTCGGCTGCTACGGGGACAGCGTGTAGAAGTACAAGAGGGTATCGCAGGAAAGGGAAATGCGTCTCGGGCAGTTGTTTACGGGCGGTGGGAGAGAATGGAGAGCTCTGTGCTTCAGGGGAATTTCGCTGTCAAATTTCCAGACCAATGCAGCAGGTGGTGCACGGATCAGCACGAGAACCCACGGCTGAGCAACGGGAAGCAAATTGAGTGGGTCCCCATCACCCCCTTTCCACTTTCCCCAGCTACGAAGTGCCTCAAGTGCCAATGGGCTGCCAAGGGTCCCTCGCCGAGCTAAACGCATTCAAGACATCGGATGTTAGGAGAAAGAATTCGCCGACCCCGCCAAAATATTCAAGCTTGGCGATAGCAGCTATCAAGGTTATTTTTTTGATTTGATCGTTATCAGTCTCGTCTCGGTAGAGAAAACACCACCACCACCGACCATGAAGACGGATTTCAAGTTCTCCAATCTGCTGGGGACAGTCTACTGCCAGGGCAATCTGCTGTTCAGTCCCGACGGCACCCATCTCTTCTCTCCTGTCGGCAACAGGGTCACAGTCTTCAACCTTGTCGACAACAAGTCATACACGCTCCCCTTCGCCCACCGAAAGAACATCTCGAGGATAGGCCTGACCCCCCAGGGAAATATTCTCCTCTCTGTCGACGAAGATGGCCATGCCATTCTCACCAACATCCCGCGTCGTGTCGTACTATACCACTTTTCCTTCAAGTCAAAAGTAACCGCCCTCTCGTTTGCGCCATCGGGTCGCCATTTCGCAGTTGGATTGGGGAGGAAAATCGAGGTCTGGCACGTCCCATCGACTCCAGATACCAACGAGGAAGGCGATCTCGAATTTGCGCCGTTTGTGCGCCACCACACACACACACAACACTTTGACGATGTCCGGCACATCGAGTGGTCGCACGACTCCCGCTTCTTCCTCAGCGCATCCAAGGATCTGACTGCGAGGATATGGAGCTTGAACGCAGAAGAAGGGTTCACGCCCTCGGTTTTGTCGGGACATAAGCAGGGCGTGGTCGCTGCCTGGTTCTCCAAGGACCAAGAAACAATCTACACAGTCAGCAAGGACGGAGCCGTCTTTGACTGGCAGTACGTCGCAAAGCCGGGGCAAGACGAGGATGAGATCATGGATGAGGAGGATATGCAATGGCGGATCGTTGACAAGCACTACTTTATGCAAAACGGCGCAACCCTTCGATGCGCCGCCTTTCACCCCGAATCAAATCTTTTGGTCGCTGGTTTCTCGAACGGTATCTTTGGATTGTACGAGATGCCCGATTTCAACCAGATTCACACCCTTAATATCTCGCAAAACGAAATCGACTTCGTAACGATAAACAAGAGTGGCGAGTGGCTCGCTTTCGGTGCGTCAAAGTTGGGTCAGCTTTTGGTGTGGGAGTGGCAGTCAGAATCATACATCCTGAAGCAACAAGGGCACTTTGACGCCATGAATGCGCTGGTCTACTCCCCAGATGGCCAAAGAATTGTCACGACGGCCGACGACGGCAAGATCAAGGTGTGGGATATCGAGTCTGGGTTCTGCATAGTAACGTTTACCGAGCACACAAGCGGCATTACAGCGTGCGAGTTCGCCAAGAAGGGCAATGTTCTTTTCACAGCCAGTTTGGACGGGTCCATCAGAGCGTGGGATTTGATCAGATACAGAAACTTCAGGACGTTTACCGCCCCTGAAAGATTATCCTTCTCCTGCATGGCAGTTGATCCAAGCGGTGAAGTTGTTGCGGCTGGTTCTATCGACTCTTTCGACATTCACATTTGGTCCGTCCAGACCGGCCAGCTCCTAGACAGACTTACCGGGCACGAGGGGCCGGTTTCTTCGCTTGTCTTTGCCCCCAACGGTGGTCTCTTGGTTAGTGGCAGTTGGGACAAGACGGCCAGGATATGGTCCATCTTCAACCGAACACAAACCAGCGAGCCTCTGCAGCTCATGTCGGATGTCTTGGACATTGCCTTCAGACCAGACTCCCTACAGATTGCCATCTCCACACTAGACGGCCAGCTGACGTTTTGGTCTGTATCAGAAGCCACCCAAGTCTCCGGTGTCGACGGACGCCGCGATGTATCAGGCGGCCGCAGAATCACAGATCGCCGGACGGCAGCTAACGTCTCGGGCACCAAGAGCTTCAACACCATCCGCTACAGCATGGACGGCTCCTGCGTCCTCGCGGGCGGCAACAGCAAGTACATCTGCCTCTACTCGGCCACAACAATGGTGCTCCTCAAGAAATTCACCGTCAGCGTCAACCTCGCGCTGTCGGGCACGCAAGAGTTCCTCAACAGCAAGCTCGTCACCGAAGCCGGCCCCGCCACCCTCCTCGACGACCAAGGCGAGGCTTCCGATCTGGAAGACCGCATCGACAGGTCGCTGCCCGGCGCCAAGAGGGGCGATCCCGGCGCGAGGAGGAAGAACCCAGAGGTCAGAGTCACGGGCGTGGCTTTCTCGCCGAGCGGGACATCCTTCTGCGCCTGCTCGACAGAAGGCCTGTTGATTTACAGTCTGGACAGCACCGTTCAGTTTGATCCGTTTGATCTCAACATGGAGATCACGCCCGCTTCGACGCTGGGTGTTTTGCAGAATGAAAAGGATTACCTCAAGGCGCTGGTCATGGCGTTCCGTCTCAATGAGGCGGGGTTGGTCCAAAGGGTGTTCCAGGCCATCCCTTACAAAGATATTGGTTTGGTGGTGGAAAACTTCCCTACTGTTTACGTGGCGAGGCTGCTGCGGTATGTGGCCGCCCAGACGGAGCAGTCCCCTCACGTGGAGTTCTGCATGCTGTGGATCAAGGCTCTTGTGGACAAGCACGGCGCGTGGTTGATGGCCAACCGGGGCAAGGTCGATGTCGAGTTGAGGATTGTGTCGAGGGCGGTGGCCAAGATGAGGGACGAGATTAGACGGCTGGCGGATGATAACGTCTACACGGTTGAGTACCTGATTGGGCAGGCCAACAACAAGGCGGCGCAGGCTGGAAAGGGGCCCAAGACTATCGAATGGAATGCTAATGGGGATTTGGAGGTCAAGGCTCTGCCGTCGACGCAGAAGGAGGTCACGATGGATAATATACTGGAGGAAGAAAGTGAAGGGGAGTGGATCGGGATAGAGTGAAGGGAATTTGGATGATTTCGGTTTAATATTATGTTGTACTAGGTTAAAGGCAAAAGGCTGGCGTCGGAAAAAAAAGATTGATACCATTTTGATACCACATCCTGTTTTTCTCTCTACAACTTGCTGTCGTCGACGTTGGGTATGTCCTGCTCTTTGTTAGCCTGCCTTCTCTCGGAAAGGGAAACATGAGAGACATACCTTCCAAGCCTCCTCAAACCCGGCACTCCTCACCCAATGCTCCCCCGGCGCCTCAACCGAGTCAACAATCAAGTGGCATATCTTCTCCCATAACCCTCCTTTAATCATGAACCCTTCTTTCTCTTCATACTCCCGACAAATATTCCTACAAACCACCGTCGCCCTCCCCAGCTTGATAGCATGCCCATCATCCCCAAACCCATGCAACCTACTCACAATCTCCTCCACCATCTTCGCCTTTCCAGGCTGCTTCGGCTCATACCCCTCCAACCTTTCCACCCTCAACTCAGGACACCCCCTAGCCACATACTGCAACAAATCCATCCTAATCTTCCACTCCAACAACCTCCTTTTTGTTTTCTCCGGCACCCAATCCATCTTGTTCATCGTGACAAAAAACGGCGCCGCGTTGACATGGTGCATCAGAAAAAAATCAAACTTCGGCACCTTTTTTTGGTCAGTCATGCTCACCGCCGCCCCAGCCGCGACATAAACCGCCCCATTAAACATCTCCCTCGTCCTCCCCTCCACCTCCCCCTCCTCCACCTTGACCCTCCCAGCCAAGTCAACCATCTCCCCCTTTGCCCGCACCAAAACCCCATCCCGGATCTTATTCCCATCCTCCGACCTCGCCGCCCCTTTCAGTCCCTCCGCCTCCCGTAACAACCCCAGCACCGTCTCCCCTTCTTCCCGCCCCCGTCCCTTTTCTTCAGCAGTCAACAAAAACTCCCTGAGATCATCCCTATGAACAGCCGCCTGCGCCAACCCCTCCGCCACCACCCCAGTCAGCCCCCACTCAAGCCCATACATGAGCTGAATCAGCGGGTGCAAAAACCCTCCAAACAACCTGATTATCAAATCCTCCTTTCCCTCCCCCTCTTCAAATAAATGCCTCGTCACTGTCTCCTTCCATCCCAACCGGTCGATCTCAGGGTGGAAAAATGTTAAAAAGTCCGGGTAGTACTCTTCTTTACCGTAGTATTCTGTCAATGTCTCCGGTGTGAGAGTCACTGACTTAATGAACAGGCAACACCGGCCGTTGGTACGAAGCGTTGGTGTCAGGGGCAGACTGGAGGTGTGATGGCCCCGCCCCGCTTCCCTACAAAGCTATCATCTCCTCCCCCATCTCCTTCTCCAACCCCCACTCCTTCAACAACACCTCTTCCTTCTTTCACCCCCCCCCCACAAACACCCC